TCTGTCTATCTATCTATCTGTCTGTCTGTCTGTCTCTATCTATCTATCTGTCTGTCTGTCTGTCTCTATCTATCTATCTGTCTGTCTGTCTGTCTCTATCTATCTATCTGTCTGTCTGTCTGTCTCTATCTATCTATCTGTCTGTCTGTCTGTCTGTCTGTGTCTGTCTATCTGTCTGTCTGTCTGTCTGTCTGTGTCTGTCTATCTGTCTGTCTGTCTGTCTGTCTGTGTCTGTCTATCTGTCTGTCTGTCTGTCTGTCTGTGTCTGTCTATCTGTCTGTCTGTCTGTCTGTCTGTCTGTCTGTCTGTCTGTCTGTCTGTCTGTCTGTCTGTCTGTCTGTCTGTCTGTCTGTCTGTCTGTCTGTCTGTCTGTCTGTCTGTCTGTCTGTCTGTCTGTCTGTCTGTCTGTCTGTCTGTCTGTCTGTCTATCTATCTGTCTGTCTGTCTGTCTTCTATCTATCATTCTATATATTGTCAGAGGTGGACAGTAGTGAGGTATTTTTACTCTGCTTTAAAAGTACTTTTGAAGTGTCTACTTTATCAGAGTGTTTTTCTTTCGAAAACTTTACTTCACAACATTCCAAAGCATAATATTGTACTTTTTACTGCATTACGTTTCATATTAAATATAATTTAATTCTTAATTACATTAGAAATCTATTACTTTCTTTTACTCAAGTAAAAGCAACTCAAACAAAGATTTACTTGAGTACAAGAAAGCACTACATTTTTAAAGTATTAAGGTAAAACAAACAACTTTTATTTATGAAATGTAGTGCAGTAAAAAAGTATGACATTATGTTTGGAATGTAGTGAAGTAAAGTTTTCCAAAGAAAAACACTCTGATAAACTACAGATACTTTTAAAATTGACTTAAGTAAAAATACTTCACTACTGTCCGCCTCTGTCTATTGTTCTATCTATCTATCGTTCTAACGTTTTCTCGTTCTGTCGACTGTTCAGTCTACCCGTCTGTCTGTTGTTTTAGCTATCTGTCATTTATTCTGTCTGTAAATATGTTGTTTAATCTGTATATCATTCATTCAGTCTACCTGTTTGTCTGTCTGCCTGTTGTTTTAGCAATCTGCCATTTGTTCTGTCTATCATTCTAGCATTGTTTGTTTTATATGTCTGTCTGCTGGTCTGTCTGTTGTCTATTATATATCTGTATTTCTGTCTTTTTTGTCTAAGTTCTAGATATCTATCGTTCATTCTATCATTTTATCATTTATTCTTTGTCTGTGTAACTATCATCTGTCTTTCTTTCTGTCTCTCTAAATCTAGCTATCTGTCGTTTGTTATATCGTTCATTCTATCTACCGGTCTGTCATTCTAGTTATCTATCAATCTATAGTTCATTCAATCTATCATTCTATTGAACTTCGAGGGTTTTGACGTGTTTAAAATAGGTTTGTTTGCAGTAATTAAAATTTAGAAACTGATTTAGAATTTAAAAGGCATTTACAATTCAGTTCTGGATGTTTAACAGCCCTGCCTGCCATTACTTGGCTTCATTGATGCTTCACAAAACAAACTTGTGACCAAACGTATAGTGGCATTGATTATGATTTATGAATCATTCAAAGATCAGTAATAAAGTCTACCTGAAGACTGGATATCATAATCATAAAAATTCAGTTTTCAAGCATGTGAAAGTGTGCTTTGAAAAGGTCAAGTCTTGTGTATTAAACACTGCTCAAGACACTTGTGCTGGTTGGCTACAGAAACACTAACGTTTTTTTTGCTTGTGTTGGATAGATCAGTGACAATGTTAACGGTATGGTAGTGATATGCAAACCCACATCTATAAATATACCACAGAGTAATGCAGCACACTGCAGACACTGTGCTATTTCTGAAAGAAATGACACAATAGTAGGTGAGATATAGGTCCTATGTATTTCTCACCATGTGTTTGAGTGAGAATGCTGTGTTAATGTATAGGATAGCTCGGATGTCCATTTAACTATTGATTTTGTCATTGAATTCTAATCTCACATCTTATAGTGTTTTGCAGTGTCACTCAGACCACAGACCATTTCACTAAGAGCTTTTCTTCTGCACTGCAAGATTGCAGATAAAATGACATGATGACAGAGCTATGATGTGGGTCTCTAAAACCGCAGGTTTAAACACCTTGCTGACAGGAACTGTCAGGCCACCGTCTCAGTTCTCAGAACATCAAATCTTTGAACATCTCTGACACCTGAATGAACAGAGCTCGTGTTTTGGACATCCTAAATTCATCTTGAGCACTCAAGGTTTTATTTGCAAAACAAATTGGATGTTAAATTAATACACATTTTAACACATCCTGCCATATTATGCAAATCTAATTATGAAACACCCACAGAATAAAAAAAAAAGAGTGTGGATTGAACATCTGTGCTGTTTCTTATTTCCTTTAAAACAAGATTGTATGCAACCATCATATATTCATCCTTAGTTTTAGACCTAACATTTTCCTCATGAATTACAGGACAGGAATTAATGTGTGTGTGACATGGTTTAGAAATGTGGTTTGAGCCTCCATTCCCAGTTTTCCAGGTAACTACCACCCTTTTAACCATGTTCCTGACTAAACTGACAAATGCAATGCTGTATAGTGATAGTGACCTGAGACTGACTAATATCTCTTCCTTTCATTCGTGTGTGTGTTTTTGTGATGCATTTCAGTATGCATTTTTTGATTGGTCAGTTGCAGTATTCAAATGACACTTCTAAATGACCATCATCCAGCAACTGTTTCCTGTATGGTTGTGGTCACGTTAAAGGGGTCATATGATGCGATTTAAATTTTTCCTTTCTCTTTGGAGTGTTACAAGCTCTTGGTGCATAAAGAAGATCTGTAAAGTTGCAAAGACTAAAGTCTCAAATCCAAAGAGATATTTTTTTATAAAAGTTAAGAGTCAACCACGCCTACCTAAAACGGCTCGTTCTAACACGCCCCCACATACCTACATCACGATGTGGGAAGATTTGCATAAAGCCGCCCAAATGTCCACCCAAAGAAAGAAGGCGTAACTTTTATTCGCTGTGGTATTGTTGCTGCCGCCATGTCGTGAAGACGCTGTGTGCTTCGTTGTGAAAGCGAAACTACTTTGTTTGGCCTTCTAAAAGAGGACGATATCTGCTTCGTCATGCCTGGAGCTGATCCGTGCTGATGCCGGAACACGGCATCACAGTATGGTAAGGGGCGTAACATTTCCGTCGCAGCTTGAGGCATTCAGCCAATCACAATGCACTGGATAGCTGGCCAATCAGAGCACACCTCGCTTTTCAAACCGATGAGCTTTGTAAAAATTGACGCGTTTCAGAAAGGCAGGGCATAGAGGAGAAACAATAATGTACAGTATGTGGAAAATGTGTTTTTTGAACCTTAAACCGCATAAACACATTTCATTACACCAAATACACAAAATAATGTTCTTTTTAGCAACATCATATGACCCCTTTAAATCTCTCTGTGGCCTCTAGAAGTAAGGTATAAAAAGTCACATTGGTATTGTCAATGCAATAATTTTTTTCTTACTAACTGTATAAATAGGATAAAATACAGATACCTGGTCAATTTTTTAAATAAACCTCAACAGGTGGAGTTTAGTGTTCCTCATTCCTCTCACATAGTAAAATAATTTTACATTTTTAACTCAAATCGTTATGTCCATGTATTTATTTGTTTGGTAAGTAGTAAGATTAATGCACAGTCTGCTTAGTTATTGCAAAATAAACCTTCAGGGTTATACAGGATCACTTTGATCACCCTGACATGGTTTATTTTGCAATAATGATATTTGTGGCAGTGATGTATGTATGTACTAAAAGGTAATTGTGTCAAGTGTTGGTCTGGGTCCTCACAGCTTTATGTAATCTATTGTGTGTAGCCTATAACTCCATATTTTAGTTAATAGCTATGAGAAATGTGACAAAAACAAACACATTGATACCTCTGAGGAAAATGATACCTTGAGCTAAACACATTGGCTTTAGAGAATGGAAGTGTAAACGAAACGCCCTGTGTGAGAGAGTGTGTGTTTGTGTGTGCCCTGGGAGGGGTGCATGTGGAACTGATTGGATTGGTTGAGGGAGTGAATTCGACAATAGGAGGAGTCTCATACGACGCTCGGGCGCTAGTCTGTTTTTTGCTTTGCCGCTGAGATTCTAATGCAACGGAGCCCAATCAAACTCAGATTATGCCATCTCCCATCTCTTCCTCCCAGAGCACGCGGACCTGAGGACCACATAAACGGCATGGGCACAACGCCGCATCGTTCATACCGAAACCTCTTCTTGTAGACAGGAATTGTATTTTCTTCAGTCACTTCAGATGGCAGATCTTGAGCAAGGAGGAGCAGCCTCTCCCCGAGCCCAGCAGCTCTTCTGAACGCGAGGGATCTGAGAAAGCGCAGGTGTGCCCGGGGTGCTTCCAGCTGCCCTTGTGCTTATTCTTTCCGCAGAGGAAAGTATCAGGATTACCAGCAGATGTAAATTGAAGGACACTTCTGATAGGCACTGGTGAGGAAGAAGGGGGAAAAAAGCTGGAAACGGAGAGTCGGGAGCTCGCGCGCAAGGCTCAACATATCACTGGATTCTACATTTATACCTCAAGAAAAATGTCATCTCAGACGAAGATCAAGAAGGACAAGGAGATCATTGCGGAGTATGAAACGCAAGTGAAAGGTTTGTATGCTTGCCTTTTAATGAATCGATCTGAGGAGTTTACATGAACATCATTTCACTTGGCCTGTAGCGAGATACTTAGATGTTTATATCGATCCGATTCATAACCGGCTTCTCTAAATAAACAAAGATTACTTAGTGCAACATTAAGTCGCTGTAACGTTTATTCATTAAAATTAGTAGCTATTTTATGTCTCCAGTACTCATCCATGTTTTTAATTTAACTAGTATCTATTTATTAAACCATTAGTCTACTTATTCGTTAGATGCTAGTTGTCACAGTTAGTAGGCTACGTTCTTCATTACATACTACTTATTCTTTAGCTTGCTATACCAACAGTGATGTAACTAGTCCATTGTTACTGGTAACACATTTTTGCATCTTTGGTTCTGACATCAACTATTCACTTCTAACTAGTACTGTATGTTTTTCCAGTTGTTGTGTTGTCAATCATGCTTGTAACTATTTTTTTAGTATTAGTGTATTTATTACTAACTACCCCAATAGTTAGCAGTATTGATTTTGCTAGTACTTATTTATTACACACTTGCTAGACACTAGTGTGAATTCCATTTGTAGCATTTTTTATTTTACTCTAAAGTAGCCATTCTGACTGGTCATTACATACGTAATGATATAAGTAATGTTACTAGTAGCAGTTGGCATAGATACTTGTCTCATAAACAGGACAACAATAATGGTTTGGCATTTGTGAATCAAAACCTGATTGCCTCTCATTCTGGCGTCTTGCTGCCACTTCTTACCCCAGTCTTTGATTTTGTGTTTGTTTGGCTGAAGTTGCATTGTGCAATAGATGGGTGGGATGTCTTTGCTGCTTTGTAGCCATCTGTCCCTTCCTCATGTCAAAAATGTGTCCAACAATAACAACATTAGTAACTTTGATTCTGTTGACACAGGGTGTCCTGCAGCCACAGGAATGGTTTGATATATTCAGATGTGTTGTATTGCAGTGACTCATGCGCTGTTGCACATAAATTCCAGCTATTAATGGTGTGCACATTAAGTGTTTGTGCACACATATTGTGTTTTGGTGGAAACGAGAAGCTTGGGTGAGGGTTTTTGTTGCTGGGTAGAATGGTGTATTGTAGTGTCATGCTCTCTGCACAATGGGTGGAACTTCAAGGCGACCAGCGAGCTTGGTTAATTCTTCTTCTTTGTTTACAGTTTACTGGACCTTTTTTGGCAGATCTTGTATTGAGGGGAAATAAACAAAGATCTATATATAGTCACTATGTATGTAAAGACAAGTATTCTAGTGATCAAGTGAGGATGTTTTAGTTGGTGATCTGTTATTGTGAACTAGATGCACAGACGTTATATATTGTACCCCTCTGTTTACAAGATACTGTCCCCCTCAATGGACCTGAACGACAGTTGGTGTTTGACTAAATGTGTCCATTCACAAAGCATTTTAGTGTCTGTAGTGTATATTTGTTGTTTGTTGAGCTTTTCAATGTTTAGAAACTAACTAGGTTTAGTCTGAAAGGGCGTTGCAAAAGCCGTTCATTCATTGATTGGCTACTTGACAATGACGGTAAGGTTCAAAGGACTCTGGCCATTGAAACGAATGCCTGGATTATTTGTAAACCCCAGAGAAAGGGTGAATAATAACTGAGAATAGTCATTAATTATTAATGGTTAATAGTACGAACACTTTACCAGTCGCATCCATTCAAAATGTGTTTGCTCATGCAGCAGAGCGGGGTTTGGTCATTTCTACCAGTTTGCTTTATTAATATTCAGCGTTTAAAACTGGCCGTCCTGAATTGCTGGGATTAAGTGTAATGTGATGCACACTGAATCTGGTGGGATTTGCAAAGTCTGTTCCTCTACTCAAGGAACCCTTTAACACTAAACGTCTCTGATGTGATTCTCGCTTGAGTAGCTTTTGTTAAAAGAGGGTCTTGCCCCTCAGTGTTTGAGAAGGCCACATGGCTCTAAAGCACAGAGGGGCCCGTCCCATACTTTGGATTTACATAACTGTTGTGATCTATAATACTGCCACTCTCTTTTTGAACAAATGCCATTAACATTAAAATGTGGACCAGCCCTTCCCCCGTCTGGAAATAAATTGTACCAAAGAATTTAGAAAATGCCAGAATATGTATAAATCCAGCTGGACTTGCTAACATTAGTTGTAGTAATATATTTTAATTTAATAGTAATGATGATGGTGATAATAATTATGATAATTATTATTAAACAATATAATTTAATACATTTGATATATTTTTATTAAATAATTGTTAATAATTAATAAACATTTTTAATGTTTGAATATATTATAATGTATTTTATAATACATTATTTATATTATTATTATCCATTAAATGCTCCATTTTATAGATAATTTCTTATGAAGTATTTCATTTCGTTCCAGGTATTGGTTCTTATTACTGTATTTGGTTTTGGTAACGCATGTAGTTTGGTGATCTTTAAATTCAGAAGGTCACAGACCATAGTCAGTCTTTGTCAAGTCCGGATCTGGTGGTTACACAAGGGAGATGTAGTCTGGAATAGTAATGAGCTTTATCTTCGATCATTAGCCTTTTGAGCAGCAAGCTACGAATGACACAGAGTGGCTTGTTATTGCCAGATGGACTCCCATGACATAGACTCATGTTGGGGCTCTGTTAGCTAGTGGCGACCCTTTGATTTCCTGTAACCACAGCAATTTGCCATAGCAGATTGACTGGATAAAAAACAATAGCAATATAATCTTGATGTGGTCAACTAGCTTATGTTATATTGATACATTTCTTTGTAACAATCAGTAAAGTGTTTGGTGCAAATGAGACTATAAATATACCCAAATCACCATTTTCACTAATAAAACTAAATGCAAAACAATAGTGACATTGTTTGTCAACTCTGGAGCCATTAACACCAACTGCCCTGCTGTCTGGCACCTTTCTGTTGATGTAAACCCTAGAGAACGGTGGTGAAGTAAAACATGTTAAGTGGAAATTCAGAGACGTGAGCTGGTGAAGGGCTGCATATATAATCATCACAGAACATTTCGCCTACATAATGTACGAAAAGGAGGTTTGGAACAGCTAAGCAACTTTTAAAAATATTGTGAATAATTGAAGGCACAATGAATAATGTAAGAATGAAGATTGAAAAGATGAAAGGTAAAGCAAAATCAATTACAAAAAAGAGAATGAGTAAAAAAGAAAGAGGTGGAGTAGTTTAAACTTTGTGGGTGAATCTTTTGGAATATCACTGCATTACTCCAGTCTTCAGTGTCACATGATCCTTCAGAAATCATTCTAGTATGTCACACACTATAATCCAAGTCTTCCGAAGCCATATAAGAGCTTTCTGTGTGGAATGTATTTGCTGAAAATCTTATTCATGTTTGCAGACAATTGGAGCCTTGAGATACTTCACGCCAGATTCAACATCCGTGACTTCAAATGCTATTGGTTTTCATGTGTCTGGTGACCACAAAGAACCAATGTGCATAAGCTAACAGTCCCTGGCTACTGTCTATTTTATTGTATGAAAAAAGAGCAGCTTGGACATTTTGCTAAACACTTACTTTTGTAATACATAGAAAAGAAAATCATACTGATTTGGAATGACAGTTTTGACTATTTTGCTCCTTGTAAAATCAAAGTAAAAAGATTTACTTTGGGTGATTTATAAAACTAGAGATATAAAATTAGTAAGAAGTGAACATGTTATAATAATTGTAAATATATAGTGTTTACTATACTGCAGAATTTTAATTTTTCATGTTTTTACATGGCACAGTTTTTTAGTCATACTGTAGCCAATTATTATTCTTAATTTTTTTACCCTCGAGTTTGAGCGGTAAATAATAATTTTTTTTTTTTTTGACCTTGTAGTCTAGTTTAGTCTAGCAAGACACAAAACTATATTATGGAATGTAATTATGTAAGAAAATTATATTCTGAAATGTAATAAAGCTGGTTTCTTGTGTATGCGGACAATTCTACCAGTTTTTTGTTTAATATTTAGCTCTTTGTCTGAGGTTTTCTCAGACTTCTTTTTGTTCTAGTCATTCAAAAGCGCTCAATTTGAAAGAAAATGGAGTATGTACTCAAAAAAACAAACAAAAAAAACAGGTTTAACTTGATGAAACAGTTTTATCTTCACCTAAGTTTCTTGCTTGTTACCCTCTTTACTAAGGAAACAAAATGAAAGATTCGTCCGCCAACTTTCCCGTGTTGTATTTCCTCAGGTGTTAGATTCTTTCTGGAGTTGAAAATGCATGTTGTTGAATTGTTAGTTGACTGTTTGCGCTTTATAAGCCATGTATGATATGTTATTGCAGGATGCTCAAACAATGTGAGATATGACACAGTAGTCAAAGATTGACTGATAGTTTCTCTGAATGGTATGACTGTGGCAACAATGCTTTAAAGGGGATCATTGAATGCTTCGGAAATACAAGAGAAAACTTTAGACAAACTAGTACATCTAGGCTTGTTATTGTAACACAACTGGGAAACATCTGTGCCTGAGTGTCTTTCCCTTTTGTTTTAAATTCTTTTCATCATATGAGGCTTGTAAATTGGTCTACCTGCTCCAGAGCCAGACCCCATTGACCATACATCACACAGCAGGAATGTAAATGACAGGTTAATGCGGTCCAGGCCGAGTGGTCGGCAGTGATTCATGGTCCTACCACACACAAACACACTCACAGACGAACACACCACTCAACAATTTGTGCAGGGCTGCTTAGTGCCGCACAGTTATGTGATTCATAGAATGCCCTTCCCGTTCACTCTCAATGCATGCAGACAGTGACTATTGCCATAGGAACTAATATTCAATCAAAGCCTTGTGCAAGGATGTCCACTGGACAAAAACAACACGAACTGGTGTATGTATGTATTTATTTATTTATTTTTGAAAATGACTTTCATTTTGTAACCTAACTTAGTTTCATATTATAGGCTGAATCATAATATCTAAAAATTCTTATTTTTTAAATAGGTACTAT